TTAACGTGCCTATCCCTCTGTAGACTCGACTTTATTCGCGCCCCCTTTTGGAGAGCTCGAATTGGTCCTACAGTTCGGACTCCTGTCACGATTCTGAATCTAATCTCACAAAGTGCAATGTGAGACTGATAAATACCAAAGAGTCCAATCCGGCAAGTCATTTTGGAAAATCAGATTTTGAATCAAATAATGCCAAAATTGGACTGCTTTTCCAGATTACAGAATCGCCACCTAAATATTTTATTTTTGGAAAATTTAGGAAACCCTGACTCGTGCCAAAGGCCATGTGTCCGTTATCACCAAAGTTGCCTCGGCTTGGGAACTTGGATATGAGAGGGGAAGGTCCTGAAATGAGCACCCTCGCTCGCCCGATCAAAGGATCGGCCTCTACTAAGCATGATATGTTGTTTTATAAACACATATGTTCTTATTCTAATTATTAGCTAGCTTTACTATGTGACGCACACAGCATACAAGTATAGACTAAAATTGCAAGAATTGGAAAAAAACAACTCATGTTTATTTTTCGAAAATGGTTTGAAAGTGTCACCCTCAAGTGGGCTTAAAACATGATGATTTGCCACTTCGCAAAGTCGGCTTAAAACTCTCATTCGTTGAATTGTCCCAATTCAAGTAATCAAGCCTTCATCCACAGGCATTCATGCAGTTAATCATTTAAGCAAATAGCCTCATGGCAAGCATGCTATCATGGCAACACTCACACTCATGCAAGTATGCTAAAGTGTAAAGGCCTACAGTGTACTCCAAGCTAGGAAAACAAAGTTAGAAAAATATGCATGATCCTAACTATACAAGATGCGTAATGCGACACATGCAATATGAAATTAAATAGGCTCGGCTATCTAAGATGCCATATGAATGCAACAATTTGACAACATGCTTTGAAATACGTATTTAAATAAGTATTGAAATACGATGCAGTTTGAATGATGCATCAAGCCTCAGTGCATGCAAGACAAATGATTGATGCGCGCATGCAAGCATAAGGTATGCTAATCAAAACGTGCCCTAATCTAACCACCGAAAGCAGTTAAATAAAATGGAGAAAAATGTGGGGTTGGAAGACATGCACACACACACACGCACGCTTTTTACAACATTGCGCCCTCTCGAAGGAGGGTCCGAATGAATATGCTAAGCTACTCTAAGCTAAGCTAACTAATCAAACTAATCTAATTAAACTAATTAGACTAATTATTACAAACCAAACGAATAACTAGTAAACTACTTACTAATTATTACAACGCTTAACTAATTAATTAAATTACAAAACAAATGTACATTAAACATATAAAGCATTAAACTACACTGCCTCAGCTCTGCTTTAGAACATTGAAGATGCATGCGTTTGGTTTTCGCCCTGAAAGCCTTCCAGTTTGCAGGCTTTGTTTGCAGAGTTACTCCAAGAATTTTCTGCTCCACCTTACAAATTCATTGCTGAGGAATGCACCAGTGGCCTGCCGACCATGAGGGCTTGCTGCCGGCCGCCTGCTGGCCAAAAGTGAGCCATGTCAGCCAAGGATGATGTATTACCGGCCACCAATGAAGCACTGCCGGCCACTGGTGTGCTGAATCACCAAACTGCAACAGAGCACAAACAGAGGAAATAGAGGGTTTTCCAAGGACATGTTTGTACTGCGCCCCTCCTTATCATCTCAAAACATCAAAGGAGAGGTACTCTTGGATTCAAAACAACCAATCAAGCATGTTCAATGCATGATGCCCAAAGATCCAAGTTGTACACTTTTAAAAAATGCACAAAAACAAGACTCTAAGGACCACCACCCTGTCATGCATGATCAAGGGTGATGGAGACCACAGGAGATTGACTCATTTCATCACTTTGAGTATGAAATGGACCAATCAACCTTGTGTTCAATATAACCTCCTATTGAACACATGCAATGCACACATAACATGCTTATATTGGTCATGTTTTACTTGATTCATTTTATTTACTCATTTTAGCATTACCAAGCTATTCTTTAGTTGGTTAAGACCAAGATGAGTGTCCTCTAGTGAGAGAGGGGTCAACCAAAGGATGGTTTAAGACATGAGAGAGATCATGCATTTGGCTAGGAGGAACCCTCAAAGGAGAGTTAAAGCCATTGAGCACAAGCTCTATCTCAAGCTTAAACATAAACCAACCCTCAAAAAAAAAAAAAATAGAAAAATGAAGAAATGAGGGAGGTTGTAGAATTTCAGTGCTGAAATGACATGACAAATAATGCTAAAACATGCAAGCAACACCTGCAAAACATGTTAAGGGCTAAAAGCATTAAAGCTAGTGAAGAGCACTACACTAGAGGCATGCAATATCAAACTCAAATGGCCAAACCAGCTCTGGATAGAGCTTAAACATGCCAAAACAATGGTCTAAACATGCTGACATAGAAGCTCAAAAAACTAGGGAAACATGCACACATGCTAGCCCATGAACAAGGCACAAAAGCACAACTCTCAAGCAATGAAAGAGTGATATGTGTGAGAGTATGACGGAGGTATATGCACTGAAATCACATATTAAATGATGCTATATCATGCAATCATCTCATGCAAAGCATGTTGAAGGCCTTAAAACACAAAGCTAATGAAGTCAACTACACTATAGCCATGCAAGGCAAAGCACATATGACCAAGACCACCCAAAACAAAGCTAAAGCATGCTAAATCAGTAGCAAAAATATGCTAGAGTCAAGCTAACACAAGCTAGAATGATAGGCTAATTCATTAGGCATGCTAGGCTAGTAAGCACAATTACACTACAAGTGCAAGAAGCAAGCAACAAGTGCTCTAACCAACCAAAAATAGAGTTGGAACATGTCAAAATAGAGCCTAAAACATGCTTGAATAAAGCTAAAAAAGTCTAGAATGAAAGGCTAACACATAGCACAAACTAGACTATTAAGCACCATAGCACTACAAGCATACAAAGCAAGCCTCAAGTGGCCAAACCAGCTCAAAGTAGAGCTAAAGCAGGTTGAAAAAGTAGCAAAAACATGCTGAGATCAAGTCATAAAATGGTAGAAAAAAATGCTCACATGTTAGGCTATTTACTCATGCAAACATGACACAAGGACAAGAGGCCAACCCCTCCTATTTTGGACCTCAAAACATAGTTTTTGTCATTGAAAAACCTCTGAGTTTCTGTGGTAGAAAGGCCCAAAAAGTTGTTTTGAAAGTGATGAAAAGATGGCACAAAAGCTTAACAAGCAAAGAGACAAGAAGGGTAAACCACCCCCAAACTCAAAAGGAACCTCAAACCACCATTTTTAAACCATAAAAGTAGATATTTTTGCAGTTCAAAACCACCCCAAAAATAGCACAAAAAGATGGCAAAAACAAGTATGAAAACAAGCTTAAAGGGTGATAGTTATACCTCTTGAACAGAAGAGTGATTCTTGGCACCAATTCATGACAAAAGCCTCTTAAGGAGCTCCAAGATAGCTTCAAGCAACTTCAGCCCAAAGATGAACCACTTTGTTCAAGGATGTATAGGCTAAAGTTTGATGTATACAAGCTTCTAAGCACCAAAGCTCAAGAGAGAGAGAAATCTAGAGAGAGAGGTTTATAGAGAGAGAGGCTCCCAAAATTTTGCTCCTAAAATGTTTCTAACCTTTAAAACAATAGAGAATGGCCTCTATATATAGAAAAAAGCAAGCTCTGGTCGAAAATATCTCAAAAGAGACAGCTGGAATAGTTGGAGGACAAATATCGGCAAAAAATCTGATTTTTGACATCAATGGCTGGCACTACATCATCCACGACTGGCAAGGGTCACTCTTGGACGGCAGGGGGCCGGAAATGGCCATTCATGGCCGGCACATGGCCAAAAAATCCTATTCATGACCAACATCTCTACCTTTGGTTGGCCAGAAAAATCTACTTTTTGGGCCCAACTTCAAATGGACATACCTCCTTCATCTGGACTCCTTTGCAGGTCATTCTTGAGCCTAAATTGAAGCCCTGGAAGTCTTGTTTCCAATGGTGGCAGACTCACTTCAAAATTCCAAGTGTGAAAAACGTTATGCTCTTTTAGTGAAGACTGCTCAGTTTCAATCCTTCTCGGATTCATGCCCAACTTCTTCTCCAACTTGGTTTCTTCCCTCCTCTCCTCTTTTCTTCAAATACAAACATTTAAGCAAGATGTTTTAAAGATTTTTCCAAAGAGTTCATCTCTCTTCCATTCATTTCCACTTTGTCCTTACTCGATTTACCGAAACGCGTAACATTTAACGAAATGCGAGCGTCGGAACATCGTAGGAACTTTGTTTCAAAAATATTTTGAAAGAGAGAGTTTTAAGGTCTAAAATCATTTTGGTCAAAAGGCTTTGGTCCAAAAATGGGGTGTGAGGTTTGGATTTGAAGCTCCTCTTGCTGAAGAAATCAAACCTTTGCATTGCACAATTTTCATCACCAAGTAAACAATCAGTGGCACCCAAGTCTTAAGGGTGGTCAAAAATTGGATGTCTACACCGTCCAGAATTTCATGCACCGGTAGGGGACTATGCCTCACACCTAGCCTCAAAGATTGGTGTAGAAGTGCAAACTCGTTTACTAGATCCAAGTGTTTGTAGGTGGAAGTATGTTGATGCCTTCGTTAAGGAGGCGATGTTTCAACGCTTGAATGTAAGTTCGTTGTCTTATTTTTAATCACACTTAAAAGCTATGATCTAAATATTTTTAATCACACTTAAAAGCTATGATCTAAATATTTTTAATCACACTTAAAAGCTATGATCTAAATATTTTTAATCACACTTAAAAGCTATGATCTAAATATTTTTAATCACACTTAAAAGCTATGATCTAAATATTTTTAATCACACTTAAAAGCTATGATCTAAATATTTTTAATCACACTTAAAAGCTATGATCTAAATATTTTTAATCACACTTAAAAGCTATGATCTAAATATTTTTAATCACACTTAAAAGGTGTGATCTAAATGTTATTAATCACACTTAAAATATGTGATTAAAAATGACCCTTTTTAATCACACTCCCAAAGATCACACTTTAACAAAACTAAAAGGTGTGATTAAATAAAATACATCACACAAAAAAAGTGTGATTTTTATATGTTTTGTAGTAGTGTCATTTTACTTTTGTGTATATTTTGTGATGAGGCCTCTCAGAAAGCATTGAGGTAGAAGATCAACAGAGAGCTATTAATTTGGATGAATTGTAGCAACTTCATATTCTTTTGCTTGTAACTTAGATAAAATTTGATTAGAATAGGGAGAGATTTCAAAAAAACTAGAAAGAACACAATCAATTTGCTGTGAAATTCCATGTGTTCTTTTTTCCTTATCCTCTAAGCATGTAAGTGAAACATAATAAAAACCAAATAAGTGGCAAAATGAGAAAGGGAAACTATTAAACATGGATTGGAAGGCTCACATAATAGGAGATTAATTTATGATTCCTTAAAATGCATCTTTCACATCATAGAATAAAGAACTAAGATTTCAGTTTCTATGATTGTATTTTCTGTTTGTTCTTGAGTTTGGTCTGAAGTTTCATGATAATGGTAAGCAACTAGCTGAGTAACTAATACAGGGTATTAAGGCAGAACTTTAGATTTGATATACTTGTGGAAGAAAGAAAGGGATATGAGTTTGGTATCAGTAATTGTTCCATATCTTGTGAAACGTAAATGGATTTTTTCAATCTATCTTGCCCACGCTTATATGCCCCCTAATTGTGAACAGTGTAAATTACTCGTTTTTCTTTTTTCACCCAGAAAAATCATCTTATAATGAAATCTCAACAAGTCCTCTAATCTATATTTCAAAGAATTGAATGAAACTAGTGAATAATTTGAAACATCTTTTAAGTTGAAATGATATATAAGAAAAGGATAGATATGAACAATGCAATTCTTTATTATCAAGCATTAAATTTGTTTTACTAGTGATACATTTCATTGTTATATTGGTTCATTCTTCCTTACAGGAACAATCAAAAGCTAACATATTTGTCTTACTAATGATACATTTCATTATTATATTGGTCATTCTTTCTTATAGGAGCAATCAAAGGGTAACATCGCGAACAGAGAAATGATGTATACAAAATACAGGTGTGGTTCTAGGTCAATCTCTGTTAGAGTAGAAAAACTGGTACGTATCCTTGCACTTTAAGAATTAAATGGACCAATATAAGCTATATCAACTTACGGCTCATTAATGGGATGCACCATTTGTGAATTGATGAGTTACTAACGTTTTTAATCTTTTGTATAATTAATTAATTACTAAAGCTTTTAATTTATTTTTTTGCAGATTGGATTGGGGTGGCATTTTTGACGTGCAACAATGATCTAATTTGCTTGAATGTTCATTTTTGTTTGATAAGGATACACATACTTTGTGGAGTTGCACTAGTTATTGTTGGACTTTTGGTAAAATTGAACAAATTATAACTTTTGGATATTTTGTGGATATTTCACTATTTTATTGTATTAGGATGAAATTATTTGTGATGATGAATGGATATTTTCATTTTGTTAATTCGTAAATGTGTTGATAACAGGTTAGGTTAAGTTGTGATGGAATTGTTATATTCAACAGGTTTCAACATGAACAGGGTTATATTTGTTGAACTAAAATTTAGATTTTGATAAAATAGGTATATAATATCAACACAATATATTAATCTTAATAAAGATATAAGGGTAAAATGTATATGCAATGCTCATGACAAAACAATTTATATCTTTCCCAAAAGCCACATAATGCTGGGTCTATGTCATAGTTCTCCAAATCATTTCCTTTAAAATAGAAAATAGGGGGAAACTCAACTTCGTATAGCCTTTCACGGATATTTCGTCCGCGGGAAACCGTCAAACGGGACCCATGTAAACGTAGGCTATGCAAGCCCTACTATTACCATTTTACGGATATTTCGTCCGCAGAAATTGGCACCTATGTATGTGCGCGTTTTTCAGGACTTTTACCCTGGACACATAGGCCAACTTAATTTGGTGATGCACACCTCATTCCTACATTCACCCATTTTTCTCAAAATCACATACATGTATAATTTTTGCTCACCCTAGACACATAGGCCAACTTAATATTTTGCTCACTACGAAATATACACATTTTCATTCACTACAAGAATATATAATGTGAATGTATCAGTGTTGGCCATCTATCAATTGCTAATCTTTTAGTCATTGTTCATGGTTGGTTTAGTGTATTTCTACTGGGCTGTGGCTCACCCTATATGGGAATATCATTTTCAGGTACAGGTAGCATGCCACCTCCAAGGACATAGCTTGGGAGGCTAGAGGCGGACATACTTTTGTCGTTTTGTTTTTGGTGTATTACATGTAAATTCAAGCCAAGGGCTTAATGTGTAAATGAGTTAGTACTCTTTTGTTGTAACCAAGTGTTAGCTTGGAAAGCTGTAAGCCCGTAGGGCATTTTCCTTTTGTTGTTAACATGTAATACTTATGTAAGAAAACTCTGATGAATAGAAGGATGTGGTTATTTCATATGTCAATGAATGTCTTATTTGATGGGTTTAACGTTATTATTTTGAGGGCGTTACAGGAATTGTACAAATTATAACTTTTGGATATTTTGTGGATATTGCACTATTTTATTGTATTAGGATAAAATTATTTGTAATGATGAATGGATATTTTCATTTTGTTAATTCGTAAATGTGTTGATGACAGGTTAGGTTAAGTTGTGATGGAATTGTTATATTCAACTGGTTTCAACATGAACATGGTTATATTTGTTGAACTAAAATTCAGATTTTGATAAAATAGGTATATAATGTGGAAAAAAATATTATGGAATTAGTGACAAAATTTTCCATCCCTAAAGAAAGTTTTTTCGTCTCTTATTTGGCTTAGGTGGAAGATTAATTTTGTCATGAATTCTTTATTTCGTTGTTAAATAAATTTGTCATGACGAAAAATATTGTCACATTTTGTCACTGTTACCCTCAATGCGTGACGAATTTTTTTTGACATTATTTCTTCATTTTTAATGATGAATTTGTTTGTCTCTATTAGTAGCTTCTTTGACAAAAAATTTCATCTTCATTTATATTAAACGTGACAAAATTATTTCGTTGTCTCTTATTCGGCTTAGGTGGATGATTAATTTTGTCATGAATTCTTTATTTCGTTGCTAAATAAATTTGTCATGACAAAAAATATTGTCACATTTTGTCACTATTACCCTCATGTGTGACGAATTTTTTTGACATTATTTCATCATTTTTAATGATGAATTTGTTTTTGTCTCTATTGATGGCTTCTTTGACAAAAAAATTTCATCTTTGTTTATATTAAACGTGACAAAATTATTTCGTCTCTATTTCTTATATTTATGACAAAATACTTTTGTCTCTAATTTCTTCCTTTAATGACAAAATATTTTGTCGCTAATTACTTACAAGTATATTCCCAACAGAGTGTATTGGAGACAAAAAAATTCGTCACAAATTTATCATTTTTAATGATGAATTTGAATAATAATAATAGTGGGAGTGATAGTAAAATAAAATAATTAATTTTCTATTGGTATGCAATAATTTTCGTCGTAATTAGTTTG